GGAAGGACTGGAAAGAATGGTCTTATTAGAATGTAAACACTACAAAGGTAGGTATTTATGGAACTAGTAGCACACAATAAGAACTTACTAATATTTGTTGAATGATGCAAATAAATGAATGAATGCATACCTAGACTTACTGAAATAAGAATGTACAAAGACCATGTCTGTGAGCACACCTGTTTAATCTCGTTAACTCTTCCCTGCTGCTAGCTGCCTTCATCTCCCGTCTGGTTCATTGAATGCTTTGCTCTGGGGTGTTTTGTCCCATTCCAAGGGTGTCCTTCCAGGTACTACAATATAAAGATTTTTTTTCTCTCTTTCTGTCTCTGCCAGTGTCTGACCTCAAGTATCTAGAGGACCTTCAATGTTTTCGTCAATCTAGGGCGCATCATCTATAAAATTAAAGAGGTGGATTACCTAAATTTCCCCAGCACCATGGTATGGCAATTCTGATACCTCAACTGATTCCTTACCTCAACTAAAGTCAATGATTCCCACGATGCTTTGCTTGCTTCTCTTCTCTTTACTTCAAGGAAAAGTTGCATTAGGGTTTGGAACCAAGGATTTGTTGAGTTTTGTTCACATGGGGAAGTTTATGTCAGAAAATGAATAAGGTTAAGATATATGTGAACAAAAGTACATTGGGGACACTTTTGAGTATTATATAACGTTAACTACTTATCTGTGTTCTGAGCTAAACAATTGTGTTCTTTGTCAAATTTTACAGTCTAAAGAAGAATGCCATTCACTCAATATAAATAAAAATGCCTTCTACAGAAATGAACATAAATGGTTGTTCTGATAAGAGTTAATGGAACAATAATAAACTTGACTCATTTAAAATGTTCACAATGCTGCACCTATGCTCTCACAGTGTGTCACCTAATTCTAACTAGGGCAAAGTTTGCAAATCCAAAGATTTCACAAACAACCTTCAATTTATAGGTCATCAGAACCATCACAAGGGTAAAGTTAAAAAAAATGTTTTAAGTAATTATTGCAAAAATTTGGCTTACAAGGTCAAAGGGTAATATGAAGCAATAAAAGGGGAAGTTGATGTTCAAAAAATGTTAGGAAAATATAAGTATATTAGCAACTGCCATATGCAAATTATCTAAAAGATAAGTAAAAAGGCTGCTTTTAAAAGCATTTTTATTGCAAAGATGGTTATCTGTGTTCCTGACAGTTGAAAACAGGATTATCAGAACTTTGGTTTTGAGTGAGAATGGTTCAGTCCAAATGAACAGAACAGAGCTGATGAGGTAATATTTATTTTTATAATTAGAGAATGTGTGATAGCAGTGTGGTGAAATATTTTGAAACTTGTTTTTGGGCCTAGAAAATGATCACTTTTAGTAATTTTTCTGTGAGAAATTAAGAAGAAATGGTAGTTTCTAATTTTGGGGTGTGATATTCTATTTGAATCAATTAAATCAAGAATGTGAATTGGGCATTCAAATCTTTTATATGTTTACTAATTTTTTTGACATCTTACACTTTAATGGCATATTGGTAAATTTTTCCTCCTTCTATTAATTTTTGCTTTATGACTTTCTTTGAGAAATTATACATATTTTATTAGGTGCACATACACTTAAAATTGGGATCTCTTGATGGTGTTAAATAAAATTTATAGGAAGCCATTGGTTTAGACTGAATTCCTGCACTCATTCAAACAGGCCAAACCAAAATGGAGTTACTAAGGAAGTCCCCTCTTCTTTTTTTTTTTTTGAGTTGGAGTCTCACTCTGTTGCCCAGACTGGAGGGCAGTGGCCGCTCCCGGCCACCACAGCCTCGACCTGCTGGGCTCCAGCAATCCTTCTGCCTCAGCCTTCCGAGTAGCCAGATTTACAGGCGTGCACTACCACACCCGGCTGATTTTTTAAAATTTATTGTAGAGATGAGGTCTCGCCAAGTTGCCCAGGTAGGTCTTGCACCCGCGGGCTCAGGCAATCCACTCACCTCAGCCTCCCAAAGGCGCGGGATTACAGGCTGAGCCACCGAGCCCGGCTGTCCCCTCTTCTTTAACCTTTACAGGGAAAGTAATTTTGAAATGACAAATTTGTTTTCTGTTCTCTGTTTATACTTTCTTCCGTCCTTTCTGCCTATAAAGCCAAACTCCTCTACACAGCTCATTGGAATACTCATTCTATTTTATAGAATGTAGTGTTGCCTGACTCTAGAATCAAATAAAAGTCAATTATGATCTTAAAACTAAATTTGTTGTAATTTTATCTTTGACAATAGTAAATCAATATGGTGACCTTCCTTTCCTCTAAACTGTTTTTTGTCTTAAAGCTTATTTTGACGAATGTTAATTGACAATCTCTGTTAGCAGGTGAGTTTAATTCATATTAATTTACTGTGCATATTGATATATTTTAAATTGTTCTTACCATCTCACTTTGGGCTTTCTATTTGTCCTGCCTTTCCTATACTTCTCCCCAGAACTACCTTTCTTTATTTTTGCCTTTGTTAATTGGTTTTCTTTTAAAATTTTCGCATACATTTTTTTTGTTGTTCTACTTATTAAGAGGCTTTCCTCTGTATTTATGTTCTTTAGGGGTTTCCTCACACACATCTTCTACTCCAGCTTCAATACACACGTTTGCTTTTTTGGGCTTTGGAGATGCTTCTTACTTTCAAGAGAATTCAGCAGTCATTGAAAACTTGTAATTGTATTTATCTAAAAAGTTATCTTCTAACAACCAAATTACAAGTCACTTAATACAAAATATAGCATGTAATTTGTCTTGAATTTTAGAGGGAGGTCTTTGGGTATCTGATGTGTACTATAACTGGAACTACAAATCTAAAACATCTGCACACTTTAGTTAAGCTTCTTATTGGTGGAAGCTGAGATTTCTTTCTTCTTGTTGTAATACAAAATTGACCATTCCTTTCTTTTTTCCTTATTCCCTCGCTCTCTTTCTTCATACCTTCTTCATATATCTAACATAATTGTCTGTTATATACGTAACAGTGTGCTAGGCTCTGGGAACAAGATACAGTCTCTGGAAACTCAGCAGAGAGACATCCAGGTGTGAAAAGAGAAATAGCACTGCTTTTCTGGAAGGCATTCTGATGCAACCCTATGTTGTTTTACTAATTTGATAAAAACTGTTATCAGACACAGGCATCTAATGATGTTGGATTACATGTTCCCTTGTAGGCAATATTTAATATAGTTGGTATCTTACTAAATTTTTTATTCAAATTAGTTATTTATATTAAATTCTTAAATTAATTTACAATCTAAAGGGAATTATATTAGGTAATTTTGGTTATAAACTTATACCTCTGGTCATAAACTTTCCAGAAATAGATTTCCTTTGTGTGTTTTTCACAATCAGTGGACCTTTTGATTTTAAATTCTTTAAAATCAGTTGTGGTTAAAAGTTCAAAAAATATTGTTGTAATCCCTTATGCACCTCCAACTCACTCTAATTTTGTAGGTTATTTTCACTCTCTTAGCTCTATCCTATAATTGCTCTCCATCTCAAGGCTGCTGCGATTTGTCCTTCAAAGTAATGCTGTGACCTGCTTTTCTTCAGTAAGGACATTGCCTTATTATATGTTCAATGTCATTTCATTGGAGCAGAAAGTTGGTGGAGTCAACTTTATGCCAGGCCCTTGTATCTACCAAAGGGAAATTTCACTATTATATAACCCAATTGCCATTATTGAGTCCTGATTCTACTGCTCTAAATTTTTCAAATGATCTCTTTTATTCCTGAGACACTTGCATACCTAATTGTCAAGTTTAATTTATGATCCTCGTTACTTTCTAAGTGTTTAATTGAGTTAGTGGTTATAGCTGACTCATAAACCCATAAAACCCGTCAGTGGTAAACTAATTAGCCACTGCACTGCCCTCTAAATAATTAACATTGCTCATTACTAACAATCAGCATTGGAGTTATTAAAAGTTACCTTACTGCTCAGTTGTCTAAAGCAGAGGTTTTCAAACTATTTTGATTATGAGCCAGACTAAGAAATACATTTCACAGACCAACCTAGGATATACATACACACAAACACACATACATACAAACACACACACACTCTCCTACTATCTGACACTCAGATATTTTCTATTTTCCTCTACCCTCTTTCATTTAAAAATGTACTGATTGACTAAAGAAGTTGGGTTTTTTTTTAGTTTAAAAATTTTTTATTTGTACAAATATATGGGGCACTTGTGCAATTTTGTTTCATGTATATAATGTATAGTGATCACGTTAGGGTACTTAGGGTGTCCATCACCTGAGTACAATATATTTTTAAATGATAATCATCCTACTTTGCTATCAAACCTTGAATTTTTTCCATCCTACTGTATGTTTGTAACTTTTAATTCACTTCTCTTCATGCTCCCTTCACCCTACAACTCACCCTTTCCAGCCTCTGTTATCTATCTTTCCACTCTTTATTTCCATGTGATCCAGTTTCTTAGCTCCCACATGTAAGTGAGACCATGGGATATGTCTTTTTGTGTCTGTCTTATTTCTCTTAAGATAAAGCCCTTCCATCCATGCTGCTGCATGTGATAATTTTATTCTTTTTTAATGATAAAATAATATTCACCATGCATGAATGGGATATGACAGCTTCAAAAACACTGGCTTAAGAAAATTCAGGCTGGATACGGTGGCTCATGTCTATAATCCCAGCACTTTGAGAGGTGGAGGCAAGAGGATTGCTTGAACCCAGAAGTTCGAGACCAGCCTGGGCAGTATAGCAAGACCTCATCTCTACAATAATTAGTTGAGTGCAGTGGCATGTGCCTGTAGTCCCAGATACTCAGGAGGCTGAGGTGGAAGGATAGCCTGAGCCCATGAGGTCAAGGCTGTGGTGAGCTGTGGTTGTGTCACTACACTCCAGCCTAGGTGACAGCAGCGTGAGACTCTGACTCAAAAACAAAACAAAACAAAACAAAAACTGAAACATAAAATTAATAAGAATCAATAAAAGTTTCTTTCAAAATTAGAACTTACTTGTGTCCTTCACCATCATACACCCACCTAGTAGAGCCAATTCCTTCATAGTTTGAAGCCCAGAAATAAATACAGGCATTAATGTGCAGAATAAACAGCAAGTATCCAGTTGTTCGAATGACTCTGTCAGAGAGAATAGATTCAAAGTAAGAATTCCTGTTGTTTCTGGAATATAACCTATTTTAACATTTTCTTTTCCTTAAGGTCTCCACTGAACCCCCTTGCTTTGGATTTGTGAACTGTTAACTCTCATTAGTACAGTATAAAGTGATGGTGCCATTGCATGTTTTCTGACTGCAGTGCCTTGACTGGGACTGACAGAGTGTAAAAAAAAAAAAAACTTTCTCTCTTTTCACAGATGGTACGAGTCAACTCCGTGAAAGACATGCCTCGAGGGTCACTTCTCCATTTTGAGTCTCATAAAATACACCACACTGATTTAACTGGATATTTCTAAAAAACTCATGAGATTTTATGCGAGGATGGACTGTGACTGCAGGTCTCTGTGCAAAGTGAAGTTCAGAACAGTGAATGAATGAAATTCAGATTAGGAGTGAATTGTCATGAGAGAGATATAAAGTTGACTTGTAAAAGAGTATGTTTTTCTGTACTCATTTTGACTGATGTGCATAATAAGATCTATTCTTTTTAGTCCAGTACTCTTCTAAGATCTGATAAAATTTTCCTACTTCTATTTCACTTAAAATATCCAAATCTGTTTTAGAGCATCCTCCTATATTTTACACACCAAAATCTGAAATTGTTCCCTTTTCTTGGAGAGGTCCCGTTCCCATCAAATGCTGTCTAAAATGTATTGTACCATTACTTCCTCCCCTTCCCCCAAGTGTACTGAGTTATACTTTACCTGTAGATATATGCTTTATCCATTATAGACTCTAGGTGATGATTAAACTCAAAAAATGAAGTATACTATGTAGAAAACAAAGAAAAGAAATCCAAAAGTATGTTAGGCTTAGATATATCTATTTAGGTAAAACTATATAAAATGGATTTCATTTGTTACTGAAAATAATTTTATTCATACATCTTTTCAAAAAATTAGATCCTGTTTAGTGGTATTTTCCTCTGGGCAGCAGTACATTTTATAGCATGGTACCACATTTCCAGAACTTCCTGCTTTATTTTATTTCTCTCCTATAGTTATAGTCTTATTTGTGAGGCTTGTTGAAAATCAAGGTTAAAAAACATTTCTCTCTCTTATTTTTAAAGCATACAGCAGAACTCTATTTCACAATAATTAAAATCACAATCTTCAAAAAACATAAAACAAAGAGGAAAAGTACAATGTAATGCACTGAAGTAATAAATAGGTGCTAAATCCTGTTGTACAATACTAGCATTACTTTTCAGTGAACTGGATTCAAGGTGTGTTTGCTTCAACAGAATGTAAAGTCCGGTAAGCATTAGCTAGCTGTTTTTGACATTATTCAAAGATATAACGAGTTTGTGTGCATCTAATCTAAACAGAGTTGCTATTTCCCTTGAGCTTTTTTCTTGCTTACTTCTACTTTTACTCAGCTTTTGTTATCTGTATATATCCCTACCCTCTCCACTTCCTCTCTTATTTTTGTGGACAAAAAGAGCATGAAATCCACAGCCAAATGCCAGTCCTATCTATCACTTACTAACTGTGTGATTGGAAAAGTCTTTTGCTATTTCTGTATCTTAGTTTCCTCATCTGTGAAATGGAGGCATTAAGAGAACTTGCTGCCTGAAGGAGTTGTATGCATACATGAGTTAATATATTTAATGTGCTTAGAATTATAGGATTTTACAGATAGAAGGGTCCCTAGAGTTTATTTAGTTCAAAATTTCACCCAATGTAGATATGACTGCAATAAAGTATTTGGAATTAGAAAATAGCATATGTAATGACTATTTATCTAGAAAGAAGTATACACAAATGATTTGTTTTTCCCGAATTCCTGAGTAGGAGAAAATTCCTTGAACACAGGTTATGATAATTGCAATTTGTGGTCACTTGTTTATTATTGTACTCTTAGTAGAAGTCTGCAGAAAAGTGAGAGTTTAAATTTAGCTTCAGTGTTCACTAAAGAGAATATTCATATTCTTAATTTGTTTTTTCATTTATATCTTGGAAACATATAGATAACACATATTTATCTAAGAAAACTGTATATTAAAATGATACTCATAGTAGAAATGTATGGACTATGGGATTTGAAAAGAAAAGCAACGTTGACTGTCAGGATCTCCTATATTATAAAAAAAATTGCTGGATATAGAGAAACTTTTGGACATTTTAGGGTTAAAAAAATGAGATATAAATTGTTGGCTTTTTTGTTTTTTTGAGTCAGGCTCTCTGTCGCCCAGGCTGAAGTGCAGTGGCATGATTATGGCTCACTGTAGCCTCGATCTCCTGGGCTCAGCCAATCCTTCTACCTCAGCCTCCTGAGTAGGTGGGCTACCACAGGCATGAGCTTGGCTAGTTTTTTTTTTGTAGAGATGAGGTCTTAGTATGTTGTTAATGCTGGTCTCGAACTCCTGGGCTCAAGCAGTCTTTCTGCCTTGGCCTCCCAAAGTACTGGTATTACAGGTGTGAGCCACCATGCCCTTGTACTATAATACCAGACAAACTCCTAAATCCATAGAAACCCGAGTATTTTTGAGTTTTGTTTTGTTTTGTTTTGAGTCACAGTCTCACTCTTTCACTCAGGCTGGATTGCAGTGGCAGCATAAGGCTCACTGCAGTCTCAACCTCCTGGATTCAGGCATTCCCTCCATCTCAGCCTCCTCAGTAGCTGGGACTCCTTATGCCTGCTTAATTTTTAAATTTTTTTTTTGGGGGGGCAAAATCTTGCTATGTTGCCTGAGCTGGTCTCAAATTCTTAGGCTTAAGAATCCTCCCAAGTGCTGGGATTACAGGCATGAGCCACCACGCTGGGCCAGAATTTCTATTTTAGAGTATAAAAGTACCTGCTATGAGATATAGAATAAAAACAACCAGGAGCAACTTCTGTCAGTGGAAGTAATGACATTTCTTGTTCATTCATTAGCAAAAATTCAGAGCATTGATGAGGGCAGAAAGATAGAGGACATTTTTTGTAAAAATTAAGAATATTGGCAATTTTAAGATATGTTAAATTGCTTCAAGATTTCCATTATTGTAGGTGAAGGCAATTAAATATAATTATCTTACCTTTAACATCCTATTTATTCTAAATATAGGATTAAACCCAAAGAAGAGGTATAAAATATCAGATGGTATTATTGATGCAACATCCAACTGTTGAAAGAACACATTCATAATTATATGCTTTTCTGGGCATGGATGGATTTATATCAATGTATATAAAAGCTGACCAGTTACAATGCAATGTTTGTTGTTTAATCCCAAATTGTCTTTAGTTAAATATGTATGGTGCCTTTGAAAGGCTTATTAGCACCATGAAAACAAGACAACTATTTTGTAGCCTGTTTCCAATGTTTTTAATTCATTTCCACCTTCATGCATCTGATCTTTCCACAGGAACTGCATTTGCTGGGATTTTTATCAAACTGCCATATATACTTCAGTGATGGCATGGCTGCTAATGCTAAAATACATTTGAATAGTGTTTTAAACACGGGGTTAATGGGCTGAAAATCAAGTTCATTCTTGATTTTATTAGAAACCATTGCACTTTCATGGCAATGGTATATGTTTATGTTTCAGTCAACTCTCTAGTGTTCAGAGCTGATTATATTGTGATTCATCCAAGCTCTTCAATACTTTCTACTCCTGTCTACTTTGAACCATTTTGCTACCAATAAATTGCTGTAAAGTATCTTTCAGAGACCTTGCAGGCTAAGGGAGAGGAGAGGAAAGAAATCAGTCCTGTTTACAAATAATCAGCAGCTCTGACAGAAAAAAGTATTGGAAGTGCTATTATAGCTTAAATAATTAAAAGGAAAAGGTCATTATTGGCCTTCTATTACACTGGTTTTTATGAAATGACAAGATATTCTTTTATGAAAAATAATTGCTCATTTTCATTAAATTGTACATGGTCTTAAAAATAGGGTATATTAAAAAAATTTAAGATATCACAAGACAATTAAGAACAGTTAAGAACATATTGTAAGACTGTATATATAAAAGTTTTAAATTAATTAATGTAATGTAATTAATTATGTAACAGAATCTCAAAGCCTCCAGTTATTGAATAGGAATAGAACTTCTAGTTTGAAATAATCAGATTAGATACAACAAACAAATTATTTACTAAAAGAATTGGTTTAGAAATTGCATTATATCATCAAACCTCATTGATCTTACCCTACAGATATTGATCCTCATGACAAATTGAGAGGTGTAAAGAACAGTTACAAAAATAATGTCTTATAAATAAGAAAGCAGGAGCACAGAGCTGTTGACTTGTCTAGTGCTACTCCAGAACCCATAGTTTCTGGCTTGCTATGTAATGATCTTTTTACTTGCTTTTTATTCAGTTGCTCAGCTCCTCTCTCGACTTCTCTATGCAGGCAGTCATTCATCATGTTAATATTAACACCTTGGCAGGAATTTGTGTAGACAGAGACAATTTATTTTTCATTGACTAATAGAAAATTGAATTGAAGAGGTATTGACCAACACCAAACTCTGTGCAAGCATGTTGGAGTTGAAATAGGAGTTTGCAGAGCATGTTGGAGTTGAAATAGGAGTAATAAATTGTTTCTGTCCACAAGAAGTTAACAATCTAACAGTAGAATAACCAAGCACAAAAATACAGTCATGTGTTGCCTAATGATGGGGAGAAATTCTGAGAAGTGCATTTCTAGGTGATTTCATCATGTGAACATCATAGAGTGTGCTTATACAAACCTAGATGGCACAGCCTACTATATACCTAGGCTATATGGTGTAGCCTATGACTCCTAGGCTACAAACCTGTATAGCATGTTACTGTACTGAATATTGTAGGCAGTTATAAACACAATGGTAAGTATTTGTGTATCTAAGCACATTTAAACATAGAAAAGATACAGTGAAAACACAATATGGAAGATTAAAAGAAGGTACACCTATATAGGGAACTTACCATGAATGGAGCTTGCAGAACCAGAAATTGCTCTGGGTGAGTCAGTGGGCGAGTGATGAGTATGAAGTCCTAGGATATTACTGTACACTACTGTAGATTTTATAAACATGGTACACTTAAGCTATACTAAATTTATAAACAAATTGTCTTCAATAATAAATTAATCAACTTACTTTTTATTTTATAAAATTTTGAATTTTTAAAAAACTTTGTACTCTTGTAACTTAGCTTAAAACACACATTGTGCAGCTGTACAAAACATTTTGTTTCTTTGTATCCTTATTCCATACACTTTTTTCTCTTTCTCTATTTTTGAGTTGGAGTCTCACTCTGTCGCCCAGGTTGGAGTGCAGTGACAAACTCACAGTCACCCCAGCGTCGACCTGCTGGGCTCTGGTGATCCTTCCGCCTCAGCCTTCCAAGTAGCCAGAACTACAGGCTTGTGCTGCCATGCCCTGCTAATTTTTGATTTATTGTAGAGATGAGATCTCGCCAGGTTTTCCGGGCTAGTCTCGAACCCTCAGGCTCAGGCAATCCATTCGCCATCCAAATAGCTGGGATTACAGGCTGAGCCACTGAGCCTGACCCTATTTTTAAAATTATTTATTTTTAAACTTTTTCGTTAGGAACTAATTTCCAAACACACATATTGGTCTAGGCCTAACAGGGTCAGGATCATCAATATCACTGTCTTCCACATCTTGTCCCACTGGAAGATCTTTAGGGGAAATAACACACATAGAGCTGTCCTCTCTTATAATAAACTGCCTTCATCTGAAATACCTCTTGAAGGGGTTGCCTGAGGCCATTTTATGGTCAACTGTGTTTTAAACAAGCAGATAGAATACACTCTAAACTAATGATAAAAAGTATGGTATAGTAAATACATAAACCAGTAATATAGTTGCTTATTATCCCAACTATTATGTATTCTACATAATTGTATGTTCTATACTTCTATATGACTGGCAGTCCAGTAGGTTTGTTTACACCAAAAATGGGTGAATAACCCATTGTGCTATGATGTTACGATGGGTACGATGCCACTAGATGATAGGAATTATTCAGCTCCATTATAATCTTATGGATCATCACCATATAGGTGGTCTGTTGTTTACCGAAACATCATTATGTGTCACATGATTGTAAAAATAATGCAATTCCATAAGACTGGCAGGATATGATGAAGTGATCAAAAGGAGGAGTGACCATAATTAGATAAATGTAAACTTTTCCATTTATAAACACAAATTACATATATGAATTAATGGAGCCCTTATTCAAACTCAAGACAGTAATAAAGAGCTTGGAACAAGCTGTGTGGCATTTACAAAGAATATTCATCTTTTTTGTAGAATTCATCAAAGTAGTGTAGATCTTTTATGAATATGCCTAAGTATGTGGCAAATTTTTACAAAGAAAATTAGTTGAGATAAAAACAAATTGAAAGGGATATTAATCATTATAGAGTTCCAACAGGGATAGTGTGAGACCTAAACCCAGACTTGTTTTTTGTGAACAAAATCTGAGGTCATTAAAGTTCTGTTGTTGAAGAGGAAGACTGGAGCTCACTTTGAGTGGGTAACCTTGTATAACCTCTGGCCTCTGTCTAGTTCTCCAACTTAGATAAGAAAGTACTTTGGAATAATTATGAATAATAAATGTAAGACTATATTATTATTTGAGGAAAGGAAGATTTCATGTTATCTAAACAATTTTCTATTTTTTATTCTGCTTATATGAACAAGAACAAAGCAGGATTAGAAACAATTCTGCAAAACTTTTACAGCATCATGCGACATGAATTGGGAGCTAGAATTTTGTGGAACAAGTACAATTCATATTCCTTTATTAATTTTTAAATAGAAATTTAAATGTAGGCACAAACTTATTTTGGTTGACTTATTAAAGACCCATATGTAGAATTACCCTTTCGCACATATGAAGAAATGTGTCATGTAATTATTGAGAAGCAAAAACTTCAGGCCTATTTTCATCTAATAAAACTTCATCTGTTAAACTTTGTAGAAATCTATAAATGGGACTTAAAGTAAAAATGTTAATAGATTACTTGAACATTTTTGAAATTGTTTGTAAGTCACCTACCTGAAATTTTGTAGAACTCTTGTAGTGTTTCTTTAGCTCATTTGAATCCATCTGAAACATATTTATAGTTTAATTAATGTTAGCTGATTTCATCAATTATTTTCTCCCTTTTTAATTTATATTTATAACTATTTCTCTCTACTGGTTCCTTCCAACCTCAGCCTATAAGCAATATATTTTAAAACAAAAAATCCTTATGACTTTTGTTTTCTTTTATGTTGTTGCCCTATTGTTTGTCATAGTCAGCTTCTTAAGAGAGTTGCCTATATTGCTTTACTTCACATCTTTTCCTCATATTTATCTGTTTCCCATGGCAATTTGGTGGTAATTGGGCCCCTCTTCTCACTTCTCTCATTTCATCAAGACTGACAGTGCAAAGATCGTTAATGACTCCCTAATGATCTCACAACCAGGGGACCCTTATGGCTCTTAGCATTCTCACTATATTTTTAAATGACACATATCTTTCCTGGCTCATTTGTTGAAAATCAGTCTACTCCATTAAGAGGTAATCTTTCTGAGGATAGGGTTGATTTTAGTAGCAACTATATATGGCTAGTGCCTGAAACATATTAAGAGCCAACTAAATATTTTTATATGGATGAATAGATAAGAGAAAGAAGGGATGAATGAAATCTTTGGAAGCATTTTAATTTTTTTTTCAATATTTTGTCCTTGAAATGTTTCCTTTCCAAAAAATCTGTAAGACCCACTCTTGGATTACTTTACTTGTTCAGTTCCTACTTTGCAGTGCTCTTCTTAGAGTATTGGTCTAGTCATTTGAAAGTCAGTATTTCCCAGGATTTAGCTCTCTTCTCTATTCTCTTCATACTTGGTTCTTGGGAAATCTCATCCACTTTTATAGTTTCAAAGATCACCATGTGTGTTGATGCTACCAAATCTCTACTCTCATCTGATATCATTTTCTTGAGCTGTCAACCCATTGTTTTCACTTTTAGTTTCACTGCACCAAACCTGAATTCATCATCATTCTCCATTCCCCTTAAACCTAACTATGCTCCGCCTTCTTCTGCTGTTTAGTATCCTATGAGCATCCTCATCTACACTGGCTAGTGATCCTACCCTACTCTCCCTCAACCTTCATCCAACATACAGTCAAGTTCTACTGATTCTTCTTCCTAAAATTTTCTCATGTCTTTTTCCCTTTTGGCATTGCTGTCTCTGCCTTTAGTCTTGCTTCCCTTGATCCCCTCCACAGTGGCAGCCGGATGATCTCAATCAGATCATTTAATAATTCCCATTTATGTCAAATCCTACAATTCCACATGAATTTAGAAAAAAAAAATCTAAGCTCCCTTTCAGGATACGCAAGGCTCTACTTTCTGTGTCTCACTCACCTCTTGAAGCATCTCACATTCACTCTGTTTAGCAGTTCCTCAAATGTATCAGTGTTTCTCACCTTGACACCTTTGCCCATGCTGTTCCCAGAGCTCAGAACACATTTTTCATTTTTATTTTTTGTGTGTGGGTGGAATGGTGTAGGTAATTCTAACTCATCCATCCAGATTCGGATAAGGGATCCCCCTCCTTCATGTAGTTTCCTCTGAGCCTCTTAGCAGCCTGGATGCACCTTTGTCATGACTCACAATATAAAATCCCACCATTTTTCTTTTTTCTATCTGTCTTGCATATTCTGTGCTAAGTAAGAGACCCCATTATCTTTGTCCTCTATTTCCTCATTTCCTAATACAGTGTCTAACACATAGTAGGTGCTTAACAAGTGTGTGACAAGTGAGAGGTGAATAAGGTGGTGTCTGTTTATATTCAGACCTAAAATAACTGACTTACAGTCATATGTTTTCAGTTGTATGTAGTAAAGGATCTTCTGAGTGCTCTTGATTAGTTGACCAAAGTGTTATAACTTGGACACATGGAAGCAGCATCTTCTAACTATTATCATTCAAGTTTTTTAGTTCAAAAATTTTAAACTACTGCTGAGAAATGTTAGATTGGATTTGGAGTCAACTATCCAATTCCTGCCGACCCTCAAATTCTCTCACTCTCTCTTTTGGCTATAATTTTACTATGTTTTATAGAAGTATATTATAAAATATATGACATGCTCATTTGATGATTTTTATTGTGAAGCAAAATGGTTTACTTAACCACAGGTAAACATAGGCATCGGTTTAAGTTAATAGCCTTATAAATTATGTACCAAGCTTGAATAAAATCAGTCACCTTCAGAGTTCATGTGGGACAGACAGACACATTTCAAGAGCTAGGCAGTTAAGTTAAAATACTACCTCTGCCCCACACCCAGGAAGAATGTTGTAAGCATATTTATCTGTTTACTTTCAGGCTTGTCTATGATCTTATGATTGAATAAATGTAAATGCAACTAAAACTGGCTAGATTAAATGAAATGACATCTAGCGATTTTAAAATCTCTTTTTTAGAGCTCTAAATAAATTTGGATCATTAGCCTTATGAGGATTTGCATGCTTACTGGTAACAATTAGGCACTTATTTTTAAAATGTCACCCTACTTAATTCTCTCTCCCTTTTTTAAGCCTCATCATTATGCAGGTGACATTTCTTCAGGGGAGGCTTACTTTAGGAAGGATATGTTAATTGCACCTAAATCCTTTTCTAACAGACAGTTTTTGAAGATCTACCCAGGTGCTAGTATATTTACTTATTATTCACCTCTCATGATAAACAATTCATAGAAACTTCAAATTTTGTATAGAATAGATAGAAGTGTTTCAAAAATAATAATATCTGAAACAACTATAATGCAGATTAAATAATTATTTAAGGAAATAAAATCCTTGAACCAGGAGTACCATTCATTCATCCTTCAAACATTTTTAAAGTAAATACTTAGAGTTCCTAGGATAGATAAATAAATGAATACTGTCCCTAATTGCAAAAAATTTATTCTCAGACAAAAAAGACACATATACAAATAAAAGACAAGAAGTAAAAGTTAGGGCAACTCCCTGGGGTTCCCTCCCATTGTGGGAGCTTTTCTGTCCTCTTAATAAATCCCGCTTAAAAAAAAAAAAAGAAGTAAGAGTTAAATGTGTGGCCATTCATTCATTTATTCCCATCAATCTACTGTGCATTTACTACATGCCAGATCCTGGGCTAGGTGAATATACTGACTTATTTAATCTTCACAATAGGTTTATGAGGTAGGTATTACTATTTCCATTTTGTGGATGAAAACGATTATATTTAACAAAAGGGTAAATTTATTTCCTTCAAATTAATACCATTGACAAATTTTAGAAGTGGAATTTGACCCTGATCTGTCTGTTTCTATTATATCATAATTAGCCTAATCAATAGTTTACAAAATTAAAAAACAAAATTTTGAATAAAATGCATGTAGCACAGAGAAGGAAGTGGTTAATTTTGAAAGATGGAAGATATAATAAATAAATGCTGTGGAAAATATATAAACCCTCCTGATTTTTACTGTGGCTGTTAGCACTTTAGTCTGTTGTCTATTACTTGTTTGTTTCCCCTCTAAGCCCTGGGAAATTAATATTTTCATTCTCCAGTCCTGGTGCTGTAAGTATTTTTTAATATAGTTAGGCGTTTCTGCCTGGCAACTTTGGGTACTTAACAAATGTTTGTTAATGAATGAATGAATGAATGAATGAAATAATAATTTAGATGGTTGAAGGTCGTAAGACCCTCAGGTTGTATACTTGATGGGCACAGTCTTCTTACCAAAATGTAATCAAGTTTCAAAAGCTAAAACCACCTACTCTAAATTAAAGAAACCATTAAACTTATTTTGAACAAATAAAGCAATTATTTCCTGTTGTATATTTGTAGCTTGTGATAATGCCTTTTAAATAGAGCCCGTTGAGTGTTTTTATTGGCTATTTTTCTTGGTTTTAACACTCCACTGTGTGCAAAGGCCTCTCTTAGAAAATTGAAAATAAAAGTCTCCCCTTACTGATTTTGTCATTTTCCATTTGTCAAACATTGATTTTCTCCCCCCTTGTGCATCTAATGGTGGTTGAAATTAGTGTTCTTTTTTTGTTGTTGTTGTTTACTTCTTATTCATACACCATCATCATCATCCATCAAGCTGCCAGGGAGCTCTGGGGATGGTGCTGGCGAGCAACTAATGCTCTGAAGTCTACACAAGGAATATTTGGAAGAGGTTTTTGCTATTGCGTTGGCTCTTGCCTTTAGAATTTCTTTCTAGGAAAGATTTCACATTTGGGGAACACTCCCAAGAAAATAGCATTATTTTAAACAGAAAAAATACTGCTATCAGCTTTTTGAAAATTTAAGATCTTAAAAGAAAATATTCAGAAGATTAAGGAACCAATGTCTCCTCTCCAAAAATATATGTGAACTTGAGGTGCTATATTCACGGTCAGTCTGCTCTTCCCGTGGTGACACTGGAAGATGTGTTCTGTGCATTGATAGCTGGGACTTGTGAGGAGGAAGTTACAGTGGCAGCATTCTTCAAGTTAACCAGGGAAGGGGCCGAGGGGTAGAACTTATAAAACTTGGGTTTGTGTTTGTGAAAACATATTTTTCTCTTTCTTGGATTGATTGGACAGTCTATGAATTTCCTTCAGTACTGAGAATAAATCCAGGAGAAGATAATTTTTCCTAAGGGTAAGCATCATTTCTGAGATAGGGTGCTGTGCTTGATCTTTAGAAGCAGGATGTGTTGAATTTGGAAAGTAGAGGATAAAAAGAAGTTAGACCAATAGGTAATATATTTGTTTAAAAACAAAACAAAAAACAGCGGTAGAGGTGTTCTGTGTGTGTGTGTGTGATTTGCACACACCTATGAGTCATGGGGGCTCCTCTCTGTGGTTTAGCTCTCTTGATGAAGATACTGGTGGCTCACTGCACTCTCATTCTCTGATCACACTATTCAACAGTATATTTTGCAACGGTGGAAATATTCTGTACTGTCCAACAGTCACATGTGGTTGTTGAGTGCTGGAAATATGTATAGTATGGCTGAGAAACTTGAATTTTTAATGCTATTTAATGGTAATTAATAATTGGGGCGAGTAGGCTCTAATGAATAAAATAATATCAGTCTAACTTTAAAAATACTGAGGTTAGTGACATTGTAATGTGATATAAAACAAATGCTTTACAGACTGTTTGAGGCTTGATAACCACAGGAACTTATATTAAATTGTTCCTTTTTTGGCATTGATGATTGACATACTTTAAAAAACCATAATTTAGGTAAAATATGTGCATATGTTCAACCTTTCAAACTTGACACTCTTTTTGTTTCCTCAAGTATTGTCAAATTCTGAAAAACTTGCCAGTCTGAACCAACATAATTTTAGAGACAAGGCTGGGTTTGAATCCCGGCTCTGCTACTTTCTAATTTTGTGCCTTGAACAAACCATCTACCCCCACTAAACTTCAGTTTCCTCATTTGTAAATAAGGGTTATAACTTATTTTTCATTGGACCATTGACAGGATTAAATGAGGTGTTATAAATAAATTAACGAAAATAATAATAGTTAAAATGTATTACTTTACACCAGACACAATCCAGGCACTCCACAGGCCTCAATTAATTTAATCACTTATCAACATTATGAAGGCATGTACTATTGTTATTCCCATTTTAAAGATGAGGAAGCTAAGGTACAGTGAGATGCATGGTCTCCAGCATGGTGGTTTTGTTGTTATTGTTTTTTTATTATTATTGCTGAAGTTTTCCTGTGGTTATTCATGCAGATAGCCAATGTTGTTCATTTAGTTTTTGTCATCAGATGAGATATTATTCATTTTTCAATTTCTACCTTTTCAAACCCTACTTACTATTATGTCTCCTCCTCTTACAAACTGGAGTCTTGGCTGAATTAATAGCATATCACAAAGGTAGATGATATCACACATCATGTCCATGATAAGCCAGTAGAGTGTGTTTTCTGGTGTTTGATATGGAAAGACCAGGCGCAGTGGTATAAACCAGCAGTTCCAGTTATAGGCAATGGTGACAATTGAGAGCCACAGGAGATAGTATCGATCTGAAAAAAACAGCAACTGGATTAATTCAAATGCCATGGAATGAGTATGAAAACAATTATCTTGCTTAGATTGGTAAACGTGGGGCACTACCTCCTGGAGATAAGCTCTAGAGGCTCTATTAAACATTCAACACAGTTCTGCCTCTGCAGCGAGAGATGCAGGGCTTTCCAGTAGGATGTTAAGAGATTTTATCAACTCTTGTGACAGCAGACAATCTCTTTCCAGTCTCTAGAGAAGTGGCCACTCTGGGTCTGTCCCCCCCCGGGCAACTGCCCTATTTGGATCAGTAAGGGGGAAATCCCAGAAAAGGCAGAGGGACCCTGCTCAGGCATCATTGCAGCCACAGGTCTCTGGCTCCTCAGGAGTTTAGCTCCAGGATTGATTGCCTGGGGCAGATAGTAGAAAGGCCACATCCTGCCAGAAGGGGCAAGAAGCTGAGTGGGGAGGGCAGAGAGTCAGCCCATTAAGGCAGTCCATGTCCCTTCACACATTACCCTCTGTTGCCATGGGAGGCCATGGGAGGGGATTTGTTCAATTATAATGATCAACATTGTGGAAGAAGACTGACACTTTGTAATGATTTTTTTTTTTTTTTTTTTTTGGTGTGTGTCATATTACTGAGTGCTGAGGGGCCTTGTTTTCGGAAGCAATTAGGAGCAGAACAGGCCCTTGACTGCTTTTTAAATATAGGTGGGAATATTCTATCTCTTGTCTTCACCAGATATGGGCAAATGATCTTTTGCAGGTTATATAGTTTAAATTCTACTTTCCAGATAGATTCAGAATATGAGCTAGGGAAAACAGAAGCTATCTGTGGCTTTTGGGTCACAGGGGTTCTTGGTGATAGCCAGCCTCCCATTGGGATAGTCCACCCTTTGATGGTACCTGTGTAGGAATCTATGCTTTTTGCAAGCCCAACCCGCCTTATGTATTCTGTCAAAGGCATCTTCTGGAATTTACAACACAACAGGCTGTAGTAATGTTCTTCTGTTAGCTTAGCGGGGATTTCTTGTACTGGTGGTACAGCTGTGGGCTTTGCTTCATGAGAAAAAAAGATGAAACGTTTTTAAGAGGTTAACTTATTGCATAAAGTCTGGAATTTTTGAAGTCAGAACATTTGAGAATCATCCCCCCCAACACAGAGCAAGACTCTGTCACTAGGTATAAGAGTAACATTTATTTACTACATATATATATACACACACACACATATACAAAACATTATGTTGTACACCTTAAATATGTACAATACAAATTTAAAAATAAAATAAAGCAATAATATTTATGAAAATAAACTGGTAATGGAAACACTGAAATTTGGAAACATAACAGGTTTAAAACTCACTGATAAAGTGTCACAAAGGTATTAAAAATAGAATATCTTAGATGCAAGCTTGTTTCTCACATATTTGGGAGCATAAATAAGTCAGAGTTTTGGATTGACACAGATCAGAAACATTACAGATGTACATCATTCCACAGGTTTTAGTTTGGTGCTTCTTTGCCCTCACAAATATCTTTGAAGTTATGAGTAAATAAAGCTCAAGATATTATTTTCAACATATCTGTATAAAACTATTACCATAAATTATTTTAGCCCCATCTGTTTAAGAAGAAACTGCCACACACTCAGTCATCTATTACAGAAACAAAGAATTGAATATCACATGTTCTCACTCATAAGTGGATCTTGAACATTGATCATAATACTACAAGAAAGGGATTGGCATTAGTAGGACACTGCCAGGGGAGGGAGGAAGGGTGAAGGGCACATAACATCCATAGGCATACCTGATCCCAAACTAGGCGAGGTGAGGATCTATGGGAGGCCTAAACTTCACCTGTATAATGACCACTTACATATGCAATCCTGAATTGTACCCCACATCTTTAAAATAAAAAAATAATATGAAGGAGCTGTCATACAAATATAGTTTATTTTGAAAACCTACCTTCCCTTATACAGAACTATAAAAAACACTCAACTCCATCCCATGTAATTATCAATGTGATTTACATCTATCTGTGGTTAAACGACCTGGATTTCTTCTATTCTTTCTCTATATGTATATACATAATTTATATAGATGTAATTATAGTATATATTATTTTATGCTCTGTGTTATTGCACTTAGTATTTTTCATAAGCACATTTCTGTAATTATTAGGGAGGTTGATAATTGTTCCTCCCATTATATGATTAGTTTGTTGATGTGCTTTGCTCTGTTGGATACTTAGGTAGTGTTCCTGTATTTTTATAAAATATACTTTGTATATTACAGGTATTTTTAATATGAACAACAAAACTTGCTATAGCAGATATTGTTGGTGGCCACAGAGGTCACCCTGTATCTCTCTCTGAGGATTTTCTAAGTAGGTTTACTTAAAGTCTTGGGGAGTTAACAGCATGCCCTGACACTAACCAGCTTCCTCCTCCTCCATTAGAATAATTCTTAGGTATGATCCATACAGTTTTCAACTGGATCAAGCCCCGATGGCACAGCAGGGACTCTCTTATTAATGTGTTTGTACTGTCTACTTCCTCGATGTTCTTGTCATTCTCACCTTTCTGGATTATTCTCAAAATAAACGATTTGTACCTAAATCATTGTCTCAGGATCTGCTTTTGGGGGACACAGAGAAATTTGCAAACTATATGGCCCCTTATTTCTTTATCCATTCCAGTACTATGAAGGAACAATGCTTACCAGTTTGTGAGCTGGGTTCAGGTGAGGATTCATCTCCCTCTACCAACTTTCTCTTGTAGACGGCTGTTCTTTGACGCATTCTTTTCACCAGGTTGTGCAACTGAGTATCAGCATACTCATTTATAACGGGGGTTCTATGCAGTCTGCTTTTTGGGCTAAATGAGGGGAAAATATGACAATAGATATGAGTCTATGAGAAGATACATATAAGGGAGGGATTAAGTCTTTCATCTTCTTTATATACTCAAGATTATGAACTACATTCTGGAATTGAATAGTACAATTCAAGCATTAAGTTTAACGGGAATAGTGCTTGTAGAATACAGAACTGTTACTGAAAAAATTAGAATTCACAAACAGCAGTATTGGGGCATGATCATATTGGAGCTTGATGACTGTGATTCTGTCATTACACTGTGTCACTAGAAGAAGTCAAGCAATAGCTGGTGGGGCAGGAAGAAGTCTAACATGGCTGGGAGATCCCCTTCCCCATGGTAGACATGCCTGCATAATCCCAGGGACAATGAGTATGGTGGACTTTACTCCCATGATTAGTTCATATTATGTGGCACAGTTGACTTTATAATAAGGATATTATACAGGTGGTCTTAATCTAATCACACGAGCCCACTTAAAGCAGGGAGTTTTTCCAACTCCTAAAACAGCAGGAAGTCAGAGATTTGAAGCACAAGGGAGATTTTACTTGAAAGAAATCCTCCACTGATGACTTTGAAGAAGAAGGTCACCTAATAAGAATTGCACGAGGCCTCTAGGAGCCTGAGAGTGATCCATAACTAGGTGATCACAAGAAAACAGGAACCATGGCCCTACAACTGCAATAAACTAAATTTTTCCAATAATCTGAATGAGCTTGGAAAGTAGATTCTTCTCTAGAGCCTTTCAGTGAGAGCCTAGTCTTCACCTTGCTGACATCTTATCTTTAGCTTTGTAAAACTTTAAGCACTGAATCCAACCAAACTCACCCAGACTTCTGATATATGAACCTGTGAGCTAATAAATGGGTGTTGTTTTAAGCTGCTAAGTTTGTGGTAATTTGTTATGTGGTGATAGAAAAATAATACAGTTGGTGTGCTTGAATGCACTTCCCATCTGAGAAAACATGCAAACAGACCAGTGTAGAGTATAAAGTGAGTATACTTCATCAAGATGTAAGTTTCCTCACAAATTTCCCTCAAAACTCTCATGTTCAATTTTCTTTTTTCTTTTAAAGATGTGGAGTACAATTTAGGATTAGGTATACAAATGGTCATCATACAGGCAAAGTTTGGGCCTCCCTTTGGTCCCCACTTTGCCTGGTTTGAGATCCGGTACCTTTATTGGTGTTGTACCCCTCTCTCCCCTGTCAGTATTCTATTGCCAATCCTCTTCTTTTAGTATTGTGGTAAATGTTCAGGGTCCATTTATGAGTAAGAATATGTTCTTTGTTTCTGTGATAGATCACTGAGTATTATAGACTCTAAATTCATCCAAGTTGTGCAAAGTCCATATGTTTGTCCTTCTTTATGGTACGTAATATTCCATTGTGTATATGTACCACACTTTTTTTTTAGCCAGTCCAGTTTCAAAGGGGAAGCACGGTTGGTTCCATGCTTTTACTATTGTGAATAGTGCTGCAGTAAACATGTCATGCTCTATTTTCTTTCTGATGTCTGACACTGGGCCTACATGGGCCCCTTGTAGGCTCCATCCTCACATCCATATCTGCTCTTTTCATCTTACTTTGACTGTAGCCCATGGGTTCACACTGGAACTGGGCAATTCATAGATTCTATTTAAAAGCATCTTAGTATGAGTATGAACACCTCTCCCTAAACCCCTCTGTATTCCTTACTTGGCCCACAGTATGTCACATTCATAACTGTTTACAGATCCTCAGGCTATTAGTGTTTTTCTCTTTTCCCTTCTTATCCTGGTATAACGTATTTCTGTTTTCAAGTTCAAAGGTCCTGTCTCACAACATTGCAAGTGTGTCACACCAATTAAAATATGTATACGTCTGCTTGAGAGTGGTAAAGACTAAGCTGAAGTGGACACTAGGCCTCTAAAGTCAGAAAAAAATTTTTTATGATTAAAAATTGTCATAGATATCATTTCACTGATTCCTTCTTAGAATCCTGATAGACTTAGAAGTTTATTCACCCATCAAGTAGTTATTGGGTTTCTACTTTATGTACTGTGAATAAAAAGTTGAGTTAGATAGAGACAGGTCTTATGGATGTTCATAGTTTATTGAGGGGAAACAGGGATTTCAATTAATAGCTAATGATAAATAATAAACATATGTACAAAGTATCGTGCTCACACTGAACTTAGCCTAGGGTGTCAAAGAGGGGCTTTGCAGAAGATGTTTTTAAATCTTGAGGGATTAGCAGATCTTTGACAAGGAAATGACAGACCTTCTAAGATATGTTCAAAGATGTGAAAGAGCATGACATACCCAGCAAGTTTTGGTGAGAATGGAGCAGAGTGTGTGTGTGGAGGGGCGTGGTGGCAGAGAGTGGCAAGAGTGATGGTGGCTAGGTCTGGAAAGGAAAGGTGAGTGGAGCCGGATTATGTTGGGTTGCATGTGACCTATTTAGGAGTTTGAGCATTAAAGTTTAGACAAAGAGGAGCTGCTGTAGAGTATTAAGCAAATGAGGTGACCTGAGAAGATTGCTTTGTATTTGGGAGAAGTAGTAATAATGGGAGGATGGGTTGGAGAGAAACACATGGAGGTAGGCCAGGCATGGTGGCCCACACCAATAATTCCAGCACTTTGGGAGGTCTAGGCAAGAGGATCACTTGAAACCAAGAGTTTATCACCAGTCTGGGTAACATAGTGAGACGCTGTCTTAAAAAAAAAAAAAAAAAAAATAGTAAAAACAAAAGGAACACATGGAGATAAGGAAAGAAGTTGCCTTAATAGGTTAGATTAGAACTGATGATGGGAAAGAGGGATTGAAATATTTTAGAGGCAGAATTCACAGAATTTGATGAATTTTCTGGAGCTTTTGGATAAATTAAATAAGGAATCAAGAATGACTTAAGTTTCTATTAGAAGATAGTCATGAAGATTGCATTAATATAAACAGGAATTCAGAAATCAGATATTTGTACACAGTAGGTACATAAAAATGAATTTTTGTGTGTGGGTGTGTATGTTCAATTCAAGGTGTCTAGAAGACTTTATGTAATAGAAGCTTGTTTGTGATACCTGGGAGACATTCAGAAATACAATTCTTACAAGTACTTGGTGGCCATTATTGTATATGGGAAATTTGAAATTTGTATGTGTATACCATCATCACAGACTGTGAATTCTCAAGGCCAAAAGCTTCGTCTTTTCTTTATACTACACAAGACTCAACACAAGGTAGGTTTTTAATAAATGCTTATTGAATAAATAAACCTGCTACTTCTAACCTTTTTGAATTACCTTATTTGATGTGCCTTCATGCTTTAAAAAAATCGATAAAAAAGCAAAGTTGAGTGTTATTGGATCATTAACTATAAAGTCAGGTATTCTAACTGTCAAAATGTCTAATTCAAACCCCAAGACCTAAGGAGAATATTTTTTCTTTTATTGAATTATCTGTAAGCCCCAACTGACCACATAATTGTCACATAATCACTCCAGTTTGTATTGTACAAAGCTACTTCATGGTTAAAATGATGAAAATTGTATTAGAAAGAATGCCAGCATCTCAACTACATACCTATATTTAAAATACTATGCATTTTAGTCTTTGTATTAGCTGGAGCATTAATACATTAGTCTATCTTATCTTTTCTTTCTGTTTCCCAGCTTCTTTTCTAGAATCCTTGCCCTTCTCTACACCTACAGGACCTCTATGCATACAGAATCCATGAATGTATTTTTCTTCAGGTAATTTTGTGACTGAAGGAAAAAAAAGGCAAATATGGATGAAGAAACATATAAAAAGTCAGGTCGGGTATGGTGGCTCACACCTGTAATCCGAGCACTTTGGGAGGTTGAGGTTGGAGAATTACTTGAGTCCAGGAGTTTGAGACCAGCCCAGGCAACATAGCAAGACCTCATCTCTACAAAACAAAACAAAACAAAGAAAAAAAAACAAAACCTGGTGTGGTGGTGTGTACTTCTAGTCTCAGAACTCTGGAGGCGGAGGCAAAAGGATCACTTGAACCCAGATGGACAAGGCGGCAGTGAGCTGTGATGGTCACACTGCACTCCAGCCTCGGTGACACAGTGAGACACTCACTCAAAAACCAAAACCAAAAAAGGGAATAGAAGAGGGAACCAATGGATTTTCCTTATATAACTATGGTTCATTTGAGCTATGCTTGATATTTCTAGTTCATATTGCTAATTGTATATTTTTAAAAGAATTATTTTTCATAATTCCATGATAAAAGTTTTGGTAAACACAGCATTTTTTACATATTTAAATAAATACAGAATTCCTTCTGTATTTATTGGACAGTCATCTTTTATTGAGAAGAATGGGACTTTTAAAATTTATGTACCAATATTGAAGAATAAAGGATTAGTTATTGTTAGAATAAAATTTGTGACTTTTTTGATAAAGGTACAGAGAAAACTCATTAAAATAGTTGATAAAAAGAAAATTATAGCAGTAATCTTCATTTCTTTAAATTCTATCAGAGGCATAGGCAAAAACAAATTATAGAATCGACAATTGGGATTGCAGAAGTTTTTGTTCTCCAGGGCAATGCATCATAGTAAGATGGGGATGGTTGAGAAGTAGGCTTTTTTTCTTCTTTTTGTAAAGTGGGAAAAAGGCCTTATGAAAGAGAAGATGGGAAAGAAAAATATGTGGTGTGCAGCTGTACTCAGGAATAGCAGTTTTAAGAAAGATAACATATATAAGATGTAGATTTTGAAAATGGTTCTTTTAAAATGATCTGTGTTTTTTTGTACTCTTAAAAAGTTTTCATGTACACTCAAGTATAATATACTCTCTAGTTTAAGATTACTGCTTTAGCATAACATGAAGAGGTGGCTAATTTTGATGAACATGGTAAAATTGGTGGAAGGTGGTCAAGTATGAGTTCACAGAGAATGTGATATCTGAGGTGAATCATGAATGATGAATGTGACTTTGATTATATAAAGGAAAGGTATTCAAGGCAAGGAAAACAGCCTGGAAAATGT